AGTTTTAAATAGATTTCTCTAAAAAGTTTTCTAGGTTTGCAGTTTTCCTTTTTTTTTTCCTTTTTCCTTTTTTCTTTTTCTTTTTTTTTTTAAGCTACGAGAATGAGCAGGTGGACTGCGTCTCCAGGAATGGTGGCGTCTCATGCTTCTTGTGCTTTTTCCTTTGGGGCCTCCGAGCGGCAGAGGGCAGGGTAGGCAGGAGGCTCCCTGTAAACATTTGGACTTGGGTTAGGGCTGGTGTTGGACAAAGCCGGGGGGTCTAGGCTGGAGTAGTGGGTACCCCTCCAGACACAGGCCTTGGGAAACTCTGCATGCGCTCCCCTCTCACCCCAGAACAAGACAACGATCAGAAAATAGAGAACAGATGCCCAGGAAGGGTGTACCGTGGCCACTCCCGGCACCTTAGACAAGGGTGGGCTTCGAACAGGGAGGCCTGTGGCAACCCCTCCCCCAAGTCTAGAGTCGAGGGAGGGGACAGGGGAGCTGAGAACAGAGAAAAGATGGGAGAAGCAGCTGGGGGGGGACAGGCAGGGAGCATGGTCTTCTTGCCCTCTTCCTCAGGGGGAGTAGGGAGCAGAGTCGGCGGTGGCCCTGGAGGTGGAGGACAGACACAGCCTGGGTTACTTGAGGCTCTTCTTGCCTCTCTAGACAATGATTCCCCCTCCTACCCCCCTGCCTACTTTTATCAGGGACACAGCTGTGCCCAGGGACCAGCCTCTGTTGCTGGGCTACAGGGTGTATGTAGCCCAGTGACACTAGGGCTAACCTGGGCCTAGGGTTCTCAGGTCTGAGAGAAAGACAGCTAAGAACAAGTGTGAAGCTGGTCAGTGAGCAGTGGGGTGGCCAGGTCTCCTCCTGCATCTAGACTAGGCTAGTATGACATGCTGGTGAGGAGGCGATTTCTTCCAAGGATACTGAGTAGCCCTCTAGTTTTGTTCAGTGGAAAGCAGGGTCCTTCTCTTTCCTTCCCTTGCCCTCTGGTCCCCATTGCCTTGCCCACCCTCGCTCCTTCAGGCTGACTATCCCCAAAGGACCTCCCATAAGCCCCAGCCCCATCCCCTCTCCAAACACAAGGGTTTCACTATGCTGTTTTCCAGCACCCTTCTGACTCACCATCCTGCCAGGCCTGCTGCCCCTCAGAAGAGGCCACAGTCCTTCAGGTTGTTCTTAATGATGACATCAGTGACGGCATCAAACACAAACTGCACGTTCTTGGTGTCGGTGGCGCATGTGAAGTGCGTGTATATTTCCTTGGTGTCTTTGCGTTTATTCAGGTCCTCAAACTTGCTCTGGATATAGCTGGCTGCCTCATCATACTTGCTGGCCCCTAAGAAAGAGACATGAGGACTTTGGGATGTTGAAGGCAGGCGAGCTCCTTCCTGCATGTACAGGGAGGGTCTGTGCACATGACAGACGAGCACACGTGTGCGCAGCATGTTCATGCGTGATGCTCACATGTGCGCATGCAGGCTCAAACGCAGAGGCCTGCGTGTGATAACGAGCCTCCGGTGTGCCGACAGACGTACACGTTACTGAATGCGCTACCATACAGCCTGTGTTTTTCATTCTGTCCAGAAGGGGGCACCCATGGGCCACCAGGTCCCCGAGGGTACCTCCTGGGATAGCCAACACCCCACCTGTGAGAGAGCCTTCACGAGCCCCACCTGTGTACTCGGGGAAACAGATGGTCAGAGGGCTCTGAGTGATCTTCTCCTCAAACAGGTCCTTCTTGTTGAGGAAGAGGATGATGGAGGTGTCTGTGAACCACTTGTTGTTGCAGATGCTGTCAAACAGCTTCATGCTCTCGTGCATTCGGTTCTAAGGAAAGGGCACGGAGTGGGGACTGACGCCCCTTCTCCCCCTGCCAGGCTCCGTCCCCACCACGGGGCTCTCTCGGTCTCTTACCATCTCCTCATCCTCAGCCAGCACCAGGTCGTAGGCGCTCAAGGCCACACAGAAGATGATGGCGGTGACGCCCTCAAAACAGTGGATCCACTTCTTCCGCTCGGATCGCTGGCCACCGACATCAAACATCCTGCCAACATTGGGTCAGCTTAGCTCCAGGGAAAAGAGCCCCGGGGAAGGCATTCTTGCATTTCACAGGCTGGCAGGCTGAGCACAGAGACCTGGCCAAAGGGGGACAGCTGCCATGCTGGCATCATCCACACTCACTCACAGCAACCAGGGTACCGACTCTGGTCAGACAGGCTGGAGTCACACGGGACCCGGGCAGGACAGGCTATTAGCAGGAGGGGACTACTGATAAACTAGGCGGTGAAAAGCTGGGCAGTGGTGGTGCACACCTGTAATCCCAGCACTCAGGAGGCAGAGGTAGGCGAGTCTCTGTGAGTTTGAGGCCAGCCTGGTCTACAGAGCTAGAGCCAGGACAGCCACCTAAGGTTGTTACACAGAGAAACCCTGTCTTGAAAAACACAAACAAAAAACCTCGGTGGTGAAATATAAGGACACGCTTTCCCAATACAGGCCTGAGGACCCCAGAGGGAATTATGCCCAGTGGCTACTCCTGTCCGTATGCCCACTCACTTGAAGTGTAAGTCCTTGAAGGTGAAGTGTGTTTCCACAATGCCCGTGGTTTTCACACGGGTCCGCAGCACATCCTGCTGCGTAGGGATGTAGTCACTCTGCGCAATGCGCTCCAGGTCATTCAGGTAACTATAGGGAGAGAGAAGAGGGTTAGGCAGGCCAAAAGGAGCACCCTGACCTGGACCTCAGACAGACCACATCCTGCTTCTTTCTTCTCTTCTCCCTTCTTCCTCATCCACCCTCTACTCCACGCAGGGTCTGGTTTATGGAGCCCAGTGTGGTCTCAAACCCACAATCCTCCTTGCCTCAGCCCTGTGAGACCGTGAGATGATAGGTGAGCGCCACTGTGCCTGACATTCTTGCATCTTTAACCCCTGCCTGCTTCACAATTGTTAGTGAAACAAACACAGGCTCAGTTTCCTTGTTTCCCACCTACAGAATGGGATTGGGAGAAGGGTTATGGCTCTGTGACCCTAGCAGTCAGGGTCTCAACTTGACCTGCACCCAACGGGACCCAGAATGTTGGAACTACAAGTAAAAAGTGGGAGGAGGCAAATTAGTCCTCTGGGGAGAGATTCAAGATGCTAATCGGTGTAATTAAGTTACCCACTGCAGAGCAACCAGTATGGTCTTTTCATGTGGGACTGAACATGTTGGGGCCTGCCACCCCCAATGGGTCCTTTGCCTAACACCCAATAAAATTTAAGCTGAGATGGGAGCACAGACACCTGCTTAGCAGAGGTCCCTGGGGCTCCTCATCACAAGCTCCTTTAATTAGTATCAATGCCTCTTGTGCAGTGTCCAGGGCTAGGCTCTCTGTGCCTCAGGGCTGAGTCCGGGCCCTGAAGTGGCTGCCCTCTACTGGTCTTTTGTTCTTGGGGCAGGGGTGCTGGGGCCAGCAGCCAGCCAAACCAGGCCAAAGGGAAATGATCTCAGAGAAGCAGGGATAGAACAGAATAACAGGAAGGGCCACGGGGGACCATGACGCGCTTGCTGTGACCTGTATGCCACGTTCCATCCCCTGCAGACGGAGCCCCTAGTCTGGAAGTCTCAAGAGGGCTTCTATACCAGTTTCTCCCTTCTCAACAGGTGGGTTCACCCTAGGGACCCTCTGCTCTGCTGTGGTCTTGCTGGACTGTGGTGAAGCCTGGGGTACCCGTTCTGTGTACGGCTCTACCCCATACCCCTCCTTTAAATGATCCTGTCAAAGCAGAAAGCACTCTGGCAGAGCGGGGCCTATGGTGACTACTGAACCCCAACTCCTAAAACAGTCCTGGGCATGCAGTAGTATTTGGGGAATAAAGACACAGGAAAACAGGAAGTGGGAAGAGGACCGGAGATGCGTCCTCATCCTAAGCTCCTTGAGTACTGGGGACACTGAAGTAGTTTTGATTGTCAACCATTAGGTTGACGGGGTTCACCCCTCCCTGCCTCTATAACCCACAAGCTCAGCTGGTGGCTAAGCCCGTGATTTCAGGGTGGGGCAGTGCTGAAGCCTGGAAGCCTCTACAGATTTGGCTATGATCCCAAAACTACTAGGGGGGTGGGGGATGACACAAGGGCAGTTAGGCCATGCAGGGACGACAGAGGAAGCCTATTCATGTGACTGAACCAGGACTTGGGAGCCCTGGCCAGGCAGAGTGTCTCCTGCCTATTCTTGTGAGGTCTAGCCCTGTTGACTTGGCTCAGGATTGGATGGGCAGGAGGGACCTGGAGGGGTAGGGGTGGTGCTAGCTGGCTAGTGGAATCAGGAGGGAAGGAGACCTCAGCTAGCATTTATCTGGTGACACTGTCCAGTACCTATGGATGTCTCCTATCACCTACCAGGACAGCTCAGCAGCCTGCCTCAGTCTTGACACACGGCTGAACGGCAGGACCATTCAGAACTATGTACTGGCCTCCTGGATCCAAGCCTGTGGGTCTCTGGGATTCCTGGGACTCTGTGATCCTCCAGCTGAGTCCTGGTCTTGGCTTGGATCCAGAAAAGCAAGGTCCAGGCTCTAGCTTGTGCACACATCTGTGACCTCAAAGACGCCTCTTCTTCCTCTGTGAGCCTGAACTCCTGAGTCCTCAATGACAGTCTGGAGTTTGCATGTGCCATGCCCCTGCCTCAAATCCCCTTCCACTCTTCCCTTTCCTACCTCTGGCTCACAGTTCTGCTGTGGCCACCCCTCCTCTGGGCTTCCCCCCAATGGTACTGACACCTTCAGCTGTCATTGCTTAAGGGCCTGTCTTTTCCACTCATCACTGTGTCCCTGACGCTTTGCACAGAGCAGGTGGCAGCAAATGTTCTTCAGAACAATTATGTGTACAGACAGATAAGCTAAAGCGCCTGAAAGCCACTGCGGCTGCCGTTCCGCCAGGCCTTTAGAGACTATGCTATCTCAGCCCCCCCTACCCCACCCAACCCACCACCAAAGCCTCCGTGGACAGTCATCAGTTTTAGCACCCTGGGACCCCTTACCATGCCTGGTCCCTTGCAGTACTTACTAAGCGGCCGAGTCATTAAGCTGGTATTCCCGTGAGCGACCAAAGCAGGCTTGTACACCATGGTCAGCCCAGAGCCTCCGGATGACGCCGGACAGATCCTCAGGCAGCATCCCTTGTTCCTCAGCAGCACAGGACAGTGCAAACAGCTGCCTGGCATCATCCTGGGCCCAGAAATGGAGGCCAGTCAGCCAGGTAAAGGAGGGTACCCCTTCCCTGACTATCAGAGGGAAAGAACTCTCCCAGAACAGGGCCCAGGGTGGAGCACCTTCAGGTTCCCCAGGTAGAGGGGAAGGAGCAGGAGAATGCACATACCGCACGCTGTGGGTCGGCAAAGTCAATCTGCAGGTTGCCCATGGCCTTGACGATAGCCATGATGGACTGGATGGTGTTGCTGTAGACAACGGCACGATACTGCCGGCACTCTTCCTCTGAATAGCCATCTTCATGGATGATCCTGATCAGCAGAGGTCAAGAGTTATGTGTGTGTGTGGTCCACAAACCACAAGAAATCACACGGCTGCCAGGGACTCCTGGGGACTGCAGGGATCTGCTCCAAAGAACCCTTGGTCCACGAAGCCAGATTGATATAAAAAGCTATGAGGCACTATGAGACAAACGTGGAGCAAGCAGAGAGACAGTACAGGACGAGATGAAGATGATCAAAGTTTGGGGACCACTGCATGCCACTTACTTCATCTGCTTGACAATGGTGCTCTTCCCTGATTCCCCAGCACCTGGAATAGAGAGTACAGATGTCAGAAACAGGCCCAGAGGGCTCTGTAAGCAGACACACAGCCCAGCTGCCATTAGTCCTGAAGGTACTTCTCACCTTCCACACATTGGCGGCACAGTGAGATGGGGTGCAGCCAGCAGGGGCCACAGTGGCTAAGGAACCCCATATAATATCTGCCCTGTGGCGGGCTCCTGCAGGCCCCTGTCCCTAAGCACTGCTGTCTACCAAGCTCAGCACCTCTGCCCTGCATGAGCTCAGGATTTGCCTAAAGACTTAAGTCCACATTCTCTGTTCTCACATAGGCAGGCTTGCCAATCTGCACTTCAGGCAGAGCTGGCTGGAATGTACCCTGCATATTGCAAAAACGGCAGGAACCCCTCCTCTCCCCAAACCCTGAGATTTAGCTGCTAAGCAACCTACAAGGGCCACAAAGTCACATTCCTGTCCTCTGGATATGGCCCAAGGCCCAGCCCTCTGTTTCTAGACCAGCTCTGTCCTAAACAGATGGAAAATAGATGCCCCCCCCATCCCACCCCCACCCCGCCACATTCTGACTCAGGCTTCTCTAGCCTGACAGCGCCGCTGTCCTCATTTCTCCAGGACTGGTTCTGAGGTTTGTTAGTTTCTCCCATGTTTGCCACAGCAACTCCATTGAACAAGTATCTTTTCTGGTCTCCTTTTACAGAGGATATGAAGTTCAAATGTTACATTCTTGGTGTAGGATCACACAAAAAGCATTCAAGACGGCACCACAATACCAAGATGAGGCTCCTCCTCCTTCTCAGCCTCTGCCCAGGTTCACTCTGCTCCTGCCCCTTCCCAGCTGTCACACCTGTACTGCCAGAAACTGCCTGCCTCTGGTTTCCCTCAGGCCCCTGCTTACACGGCTCCCTTTACTGGGTAAACCTGCCCCATGCTCCATTGACAGGTCTATGTCTCCAGGAAGTTCACAGGGTTGGTGGCAGGATCTATGGATAGGTTAAACTTGGGAACTCTGTCCTTTCTGTTAGGATCCCTTTATGGACAGTCAACACACTTAACAATAACATGAGTGATAAAGATGACAAAGTTACCACGAGCAACCATTGTGTGCCAGGTAATATCTATTGTTTTGTTTTTTGAGACAGGGTTTCATGTAGACCAGGCTGGCTTCAAACCTTCCATGGAGCCAGAGATGACCCCAAATTTCTGATCTTCCTACCTGGAATTGCAATTGTGTGTCAACATGGCCGGATTTTTGTTGTTGTTGTTACTGTTGTCTGGGTCTCCCTCCCCCCTCCATTATTATTATTTTAAGGCAGGATCTCACTTATGTAGCCCTGGCTGGCCTCAAACTCACAAATACACCTACCTCTGCCTCCCAAGTGCTGGTTTTGGAGGCATGCACCACCATACCCAGCCCTTTGTTACAGTTCTTATATTTTGGGCTGGAGAGATGACTCTCAGTGGTTAAGAGCACTCACTGCTCTTCCAGAGCACCTAGGTTTGGCTCCCAGCAGCCACACCGTGGCTCCCATGTGTATGTAACATGGTTCTAGGGGCTTTGATGGCTTCTTCTGGTCTCTGTGGGCACCCACATGCTGCATATAGATAAACAAACACTCATACACACAAAACTTTAAATAGCTCTCTTTTGTTTAAACTTTATGTGTATAGTTGTTTAGCTTGCATGTATGTCTACATCACTTATGTGCCTAGTGCCCACAGAGACAAACAAGGCTGCTAGATTTCTTGGAACTACAGTTATAGACAGTTATGAGCTATCATGTGGGCACTGGGACTGAACCTGGGTCCTTGGGAAGAGCAGCAAGTGCCCCTAAGTGCTGAGTCATTGCTCCAGCCTCCAATTATTATTTTAAATTATGTGTATGAATATGTGGATGTCAGTGCAGGGACCCACAGAGGCTCCCAGATCCTCTAAAGCTAGAGCTAAAAGTAGTTATGAGCAACCCAACATGAGTGCTGGGAACCAAACTTGGGTCCTTTACAAGAACAAATACTCTTTTTGTCTCGAACTTTTTTCGAGACAGGGTTTCTCTGTGGCTTTGGAGGCTGTCCTGGAACTAGCTCTTGTAGACCAGGCTGGTCTCGAACTCACAGAGATCCGCCTGCCTCTGCCTGCGAGTGCTGGAATTAAAGGTGTGGACCACCACTGCCCAGCCAAGAACAAATATTCTTAACCACATTTTAAAAATGTGTGCCCTCAAAAAAAATAAAAATAAAAAAAAATGTGTGCACTCATGTATGGGGGGGGGAGCCCACTCAAATTGCAATTGTCAGTTCTTTCCTCCCACCATGTAGACCTCAGGGGTCAAACTCAAGTTGCCCAGCTTGGTGGCAAGCACCTTCACTGGCTGAGCCATCTCACCAGTCCCATTAACCAGGTGTTGTGTTTTGTTTTTTAACTTTAAAATGTTATTTTTGTATTTTTAGTTATGTGTATATATTTGTGTATCTGGGGTGGGTATGTGCACATGCATACAGGTACCCACAGAAGCCAGAAGGCAACAGATCCCTTAGAGCTGGAGTTACAAGCGACTGTGAACCACCTGATGTGTGTGCTGGGTATTGAACTCAGGTCCTCTACAAGAGCAAGAAGCGGGTGCTGAGCCATCTTTTCAGCCACGCCACGCCCAGCTTAAGTGGTTCTGGGTTGAACTGAACCCAGGGTTTCATGCATACTTGGTAAGTACTCTACCTATTGTATTTACAAGGTACTTTTATCTTCACAGCAAACCTCAGGTAGGTTCTATTCTCACCTCCATCTCTAAGGAAACTGAGGCACACATTGTGGTACAATTAGCCCTATCTATGGGTTGTCCACCTTGCTCTGCATAGTTCCTCCTGGAAATGCTACGTGCCCGGGCCCAGCTGTCCTTGTCACTGTGTCCCTTACAAGAGTGGGTCTGGGAACATCTGTGATCCAGCAGCTGCTCTGAGAGGAAAGGTTTGAGTTCTTACAAATGTCACCAGGTGCCTATAATAACTGAGTATCCAACTGTCCCACCCTGCTTCCCAGGATCATGTGGACACTAATATGGCACAAACCTTCAGGCCTTGGGATAGTGTTCTCTCTAGCTTTTTAGCCCTGGGCACTAGGGGTCCCAGGTTTGGCATACTGCCTGGGTATGAGCTATGGTCATTCCACAAAACAGGGCTGTGCACAGCAGTGAAAGAGGCTCCTTCACATTCTACAAGCCCAGAAAGATGTTCAGAAGGCCTGCAGAGCATGCCCACACTATCCAACCGTTGCCCATACCACCTACCCACAGGGCCTCAATATCTGCTAAGAGAGGGAAGGGCACAGTGGCCACCTAGCTAGCCTTCCCACTTGCTCCCACACAGCAGAAGGCAGGGGAATCCATCTTGAAGCAGAGGAGGAACCAGTTTCAGCCAGGATTGAGCCCTTCCTTATTCAGGGAGCAGAGGCTAAAGATGTGAAAACGTGGGGGTGGGTCGGGTGGGGCATACCATCCAGACAACAGGGGCAGGTCACTGAACAGACTCCAGGACAGGTGGGAAGGGTAATGGAAGCATCTGTTCAGGACACAGGAGACCTCAGGTGAAGGTTGTCCCCTCTTACTGGACCTTGGAACTCCTGGTTATGTGAGACATCGGTTTCTCTACTGGCCATTGTGGGTAAAAAGGGCATCTAATCTTTCAAGCACTCTCTCCAGAGGAATTATGGGCTACTTATGACCCTGCCCAGTGCCAGAGATGATGGCACGAACTTGCTTTGCATTCAATTTCCCTGGCAAAGCTGGCAGACACCAAGACAGCCACACCTGAGCAGCCAGGCCAGGAACCAGGTTCAGATACTTCTTACCTCAGCCAGCTGAAGGCCTACTGCCACACCGCCCTAATGCCTCAGTTTCCCATTCTCAGGCCTCTCAAATTCTGAGTTGGGAATTCTCTGTATCTAGCAGAGGTCACAGCAAACACAGCCCCTTTTGACAGGTGGATAAAACAAGGTTAAGAAGCTTACATCTCTGGGGGTTAGGGAGGTCCCTCTGTCTTTACAGCAGCTGTGATTCAGGCAGGAAGTAGTGAGAGGCAGGACAAGGGTGCGGTACTGGCAACCAAGCAGGAAGTAGGGAAACATCAGGACAGAGTCGGGGAAGGAGTTGGAAGCAGGTCACCCAGTGAAAGGTGTGTGGTGAAGACCTTGGCTCTCACACAGACTTGGTGCTCCAGGAGCTGTAAGGCTACAGTATCATTCTCCACTATCTCCGTCCCCCTGATGGCCATTTCTCCATCATGGCCTGACTCATTACTTCTACCATCTAGCCTGGAGTTTGCTTGTACTCACTGGGCTTCCCTGGCCAGCCCTGTGACTACCTGGGGGAGAGCTACCCCATCACAACCTGAATTGATGCAGGTGCTGAAAGGGAGCCTGCTCTACAGACAGTGGCAGGTGTCTGCCTCCCCAGCCCCGACCTGGTGCTCCATCCCAGCTGAATGAGGCCAGAGGGGGACCCACAGAGGTTCCCTAGAGTGGCTGTGACATTCCCACGAGGCTACATCTCTTCCCACCAAGGAAAACACCTCTGCAGCTTTTGCCCTGAGTCTAGCTGCTGGGCCCACTGCAGGAGGTCAGTGATCTCCGAGGCTGCTCTTCATAGAAACACCTGCTTCTACCCGGAGCACTGCGCTCCTGTGGAGAGAACAGACTGGATGTAGAGGGTACCACTTCATCCGCCTGGCAAGACCCGTGAAGCCTCCCCACGGATGGGCCTCTAAATTCAAGCACTTGGTGTTCATCTAGGCCCCAGCATCGATGACTCTGCTGTGAATCCATCTTGGACTCTGCCTCCTACATTAGGCTTAGATCTGCTGGCACGCTGGGACCTGCTGTTGTCCTTTCTAACCTAAGTTTCCTCAAGCAGCCAGCTGGTCTACATTTTACTTTTGGCTCTTCCACTCCAGGATCAGAGGGGAGGGGGGTCTAGATCTTCACCACCCCTGTTGCCCACACTGATCCTTCCTAAGATTTCCATTAGT